TCGATTAATAACGGTTGATGAAACTTGGGTCCACCACTTCACTCCTGAAACGAAAGAATAATCAAAACAGTGGACTGCGAAGGATGAACCTGCTCCGAAGAAAGCGAAGACGGTTTTATCAGCGGGAAAGGTGATGGCCACCGTTTTTTGGGACAGTCATGGAATTGTGTTGATCGACTATCTTGAAAAAGGTAAAACAATAACAGGGACGTACTATGCATCATTGCTTGACAAGCTGAAGGCAGAAATTGAGAAAAAATGACCGCATTTGAAAAAGAAGAAAGTGCTGTTCCATCAAGATAACGCACGTTTCACACTTCGGCGGTCGCTATGGCAAAAATTCACGAATTGTCGTTCGAATTAATTGACCATCCACCGTATTCACCAGATCTGGTCCCCAGCGACTTTTTTCTGTTTCCTAGACTCGAAGTTTGGCTCGGAGGACAGAAATTTTCATCGAACGAGGAGATCATCGCATCCGTAGACGCCTATTTTGCAAAGCAAGATGCTCAGTATTATTTGAATGGATTAAAGGGGTGGGAGCATCGCTGGAAAAAATGTATCATCCACAATGCGAAAAGAAGCGATATGGAAAATAATTTCGACAAATTTGGGCCAGAAAAGTTTTCACTACACACCGAAGCAGTGCGAATTTAAATTTAAAAATTTGAAAAAAAATTGCAAAAATTGATAATATGAAAGCGACAACAAGTGGTGCAGCTGCTATAAAATTTGAATATTTTGATTTATTCAACGAAATGTTCGGACGCAATCCCAATGTCGTTCCCCTCGCAACTGTATCATCTTCTAGAGGTCAGGGAATAGCGTTGAATACCGATTTAAACGCAGAAGATATGTTGCAAGATGATGATGTTGATGAACAACATAAAGAAAATACCCAAATTAAAAAACGTGCTGCCTCCGAAGAAACACCAAAGAAAAACGTTTCCAAAAAGTCTAAATTAGATCAAATATTTGTGCAATTAGACGATATTAATAAGAAAAGAAAAGAAGCAAGATATATAAAACACAAAGTACTCATCGCCACTCAAGAAAATGCAATAAAGATTTTTAGTGAAAAATGGACAAATTAATTAATCGACAAGTTGTAATTTTTCTTTTATAATAGGCAGGCCTTATCACATTTTCAAATATTTTTACGTTATTGTACGAACATAAAGTGTTCAACAATTTAAATATGTATACAATTTTACATGCTAAGAATGTTTATGTTATACTTGATTCTAAGATAATTATTACTTATTACTAATAGTAGATTTTTTTTTAATATTAATGCATGAGGAATGCACAAAACTGTGATACTTATAGTCTGCTCCACATCTATACATTTGATTTTTTATTTAATAATGTTTAATCAAACTGTCCAAAGTAAATAAGTATTGCTGTTATTTTTTTAGTTATTATATGTTTAAATATTCTGATAAATAAAATATAGATTCAAGCAATATAAATCTTGATTTATTATTCTTATTCACTTAACATATTTTCAATTGTATATGTGTATAAAACAACCAACAGCAATTATTATAAATTGATATAAAACTCACTTATTTACTAAAAGAATACAAAATAATATACTTTAGAAAATTAATATATATTTACACTCTGCGATAAAGGTATTCAGCAAGAGCATCTCTTTTCTGACTATCACAGATTTCATTATGACAATTTTGAACTGGGCCTCTAATATTTTCATCCATATTGTCATCAACTTCTATTCGTTTATATATTCCTCAATATTCGTATCTTTATGTTCTAAGCACATGTTGTGTATGACACATGCAGCCAAAATTGTCGCTGGTATTAAATCTATACGATTCATATCTAAATATTTAAGCCTTCTAAATCGCCCTTTTAAGAGGGCAAATGCTCTTTCAATAACCTGTCTACTTTTTGATAAAGCTTCATTAAATCGTCTCTTAATATCATTTAAATTTCCTCTATCAATATAAGGTAGGATTAGCCATTAATTGTAATGCAGGATATGCTTTATCTCCCAATAAAAATTGATTTCCGGGAAAGTAGCGATTTGTATTAGACATTATATTAGTATATATGTCTGAGTTTCTAAAAATTCTCATATCGCTCACAAAACTTGGGTATCCTGCAAAGCAATCAATAAATTTCATTGATGCATCACATATTCCTTGCAATCTAATAGCATAGAAGCATTTCCGATTTATATAACTTTCTGGGTCAACTTTTGGAGCTTTAATTGGAATGTAAGTTCCGTCAATTGCACCAATAACGTTAGGAATATTTGAGATTTTTTCAAATTTATTTGTAATTGGGTAAATTCCTATTCCTTGTGGCCATTTTATTATCAGAGGTGCAATTGTGCAAAGAACATTAATTACTCGCACAAAACATATCGATAGCGATGACTGCCATATCGAACCTTTCACTGACAGATCTAAAAAATTATTAAGACAATACAATTCGTGTACTTTAATATTTCAAAATTTGATTTGTAATAATAACTTTTAATTCTAAGAATTGATATGCAAATTCCTTAAAAAATAAATATTTGTCCTTCACTCAATAATTTATATTTTATACCTTTGAACAATTTCAATAATCATTGACAAAACAATCATTCGAATCATGCTAAGAATATTTCGTAAATTATAAAATATTATGTTGTAGATGAAATCTCACAAAATCAGATAATATTTAAGATCTAATATTCTAATCCACATTTGCTCATGTAAACAAATACATGTGCATAATTCTGGTAGTAGAGCCTCATGAAATACAATCAAATCCTTGGGGTTTATTATATATATGTATCTTTAATGTAGTGAAAATGCGAAAAGTGAGTAATCCAATAACCAATTATTACATTGATCCGACAAACTCGGTAATGATTGATTATTGGATTGCTTACTTTTCGCATTTTCACTGCATTAAAGATACGTAATATATCCTTTTATCCAATTTTATGAATATAAACGAATACCTATACGAATCAGGTGTAGCCAATATCCAAATGACTGAAAGTAATTGCTTTCGTGGGTCTATCACTGGACGACCAGTTTGTTTATTTTCATTTCCAGTAGGCTTTAATAACGGACCAACTTGTTCTAATAAATATTCAAATGCATCAAAGGATAATCTGAAATGTCGTTGAAATTCTATGTTTGTAAAGTTTGCTATGTTTTCCATGTATCCAACAATACGATTAGACTTCTCTTTCAAATGTGTCTCAGTTATTAACATTTCATAGTCTTCATCACCAGATTCTTCCTAATAATACGTACAAAATAGAATATAAACAATGTTTTCAGATATGTTATAATATAATTATAGGAAAATGTAAAGATTCGTTACAAAATGTTCTTGTTAATAATGATGATTTATTTAAATTTTCTACTTATAAAAGAAAGATGCATTATGATATTATACATACATCAAAGCATTATATATATATACAATATATATATATGTATAATACTTACCTCAATATTCAGTATTAAATTTCTCGCAAAAGAAAATATAGTAAAACAAATTACTTTTTTCACACTTTCTGCCATACTATATAAGGTACTTTTCTGAAATTAGGTTTATAAGGTATTTTATTAAGTTTTAGGTTATAATTACTAAAAATATTTAGGGTCGGTTGTTTCACCTTTCGGTAAATTTTACCTGTTAGGTAAATCTGGCAATCCAAGCATATGATTGGATAATCTTGCTATACTTACCTAACGGGTAAAATTTATCAAAAGGTGGAACAACCAGCCCTTAAACAGCGGCCATTAACTGCTATTACTATCATCAACTCAACTAATACTCCGATCGTTCACAAAGTCACACAAACTTTAGAGTTAACTCTTATTAACCCAACTCTACTCTAATTCTACTCAGAGTATACTTTATGAACGCAGCCCAGCGAGTGTTACAATGCTGATCGAAAGTTGCCGCATCTAATCCAAAAAGTATGTATTTTTCCATTTAAAAAAAAAGACATTCACACAAACACGAAAATAATTAATTTCTGTGTCAGAATAGAAATTTGTTCTTTTTATCTGCAAATATTTATGTCTCAGAAAGATAACCCTCAAGACGTTATTTTCTTGTTGCAAAAATAAATCGTATATGGACATAAGTATTCGCATTTAAAAAATGCCTAGCTGTACCGCAGTTAATTGCAGTAATCGGGTTGACAAGGGCTATAGGCTCTTCTCGTTCCCGAAGGGTAAACGTGGGACAAAATGAGTTGACAATATGCGACGAGATAAGTGGACACCGACCACCTCTTCGCGATTGTGTGAGGTAAGTATCAAAATAAGGATATAATTTTTTTTATCGTATCACACAATGACCTAACAACGCTAATAATATTGTTTTGTTTGTTTCAAGGTACATTTTGAAGATTCCCAATTCGAAGCCCACCGCATTGATGGCTGGAGAAAAACTTAAACCGAATGCAGTCCCAACGCTTTTCGATGTGCCCAACCCCCCGCCACGAATCAACTCACTTAGACGAAAATCACTGTACAAGGTTACTTTCGACAAAAATTAATCACATTTTTTTAACCTATCACTGTCAAGATTAATATTTTTCG